TGGTATGATGTGCACATAGAGAATGATAAAGTAAATGTGGTAAAATGTTGAAAATAAATGAATCTTGTTAAAAGGGATATAAAATTCTTGCAATTTTTCTGTAAATTTGAAGTGGTTTCAAAACAAAATTAAATACACATATACCTTACCTCTATCTAACTTAATCCCATCATCAAAGCGGGAGAAGAGCCTGTATCTCTGGGCCCAGTATTTAATCAGCTCAGGAACAGCAGCTATCTCAGGAGGCATGCCATTTACCTTTCTATTCTTATTTTTTTTCTTATTCTTCTTTTTAATTTCAGCTAAAATAAAATCCAAAGGATACAGATGCTCACTATTAAAAAAGAAAATCAAGAGGAACTTTGGCTGAAAGCACAGCCATATCAAATAATTACACTTGTAGACTATAATCCAGAACATATATGTAACAACACACCCAGAGACACAGGAGGGAATGATCAAAACTCCAATGGCTTTATATCTCTGCCTCCACTTTGCTACTTATTGACTTTGAAACTGGAAAAGTGACCCAGGCTCTGTAAGCACCAATTCTTTATTCCTACAAAAAGAATTAATTAGTAAATTGCATTTTACTAATTTCATTTACAGCACTGACAAAGATATAGGGTGAGTATCCCTAATCTGAAATTCCAAAACTCTCCAAATCTGAAAATTTTGAGCTTTGGCATGACACCACAAATCAAAATCCACACCTGACTTCATCTGACCAGTTGTAGCCAAAACTCAGGTGCATTAAAAATATAGTATAAAATTACCCTCAGATTATGTGTATAGAGTAGATATGAAACACAAATGAATTTTGTGTTAGGATTTCAGCCCTACCCCCAAGATAAATTGTTACATATATGCAAATATTCCAAAACCTGAAAAAATCCAAATCTGAAGTACTTTTGGTCCCAAGCACTTCCAGATAAGGGATACTCAAACCACGTATAGAACTACTAATATAGGCATAAAAGTTATTGCTTCTGATGGCCACAACACTGATTTAGTTGGTGAATTCTGAAATGTACATGTTTCTCACTTCCTTAAAACAGAATCTTGCAAGGACTGATTAAGCTCCAGCCCTGGCCATATTAACATGTACACAAAAGGGCTGTAATTCGTATGTCTTGCTGCTGGGTGGCTCTGATTTGAATTTGGTATTTCCCGCTTGGTACATGCATGACTGTTCCATCGGATGGCTTGTACCAATTCTTAGAGAGGTCTTTGATTACAATAATGCAAAGAAAGGCATTGATTTAGCAGACCAGCTATCACCATATTACAGTTCCTTAAGGAAAACATTAAAATGGTATAAGAAATTGTAATATACCACCGCCTGCCTCGCAAGCACAAGATCCCGAGTTTGATCCCCGGTACCAAAAAAAAAAAAAGATAATTGTAATATAGCTGACTTGTGGTATAGCAGTTACAATTGCATATTATATACATCAACAGTGGGGTACCTGTAGGATTTCCATGTTAAAATTTGGAGAATTGATGACTGATAAACCTCACAAATATAAATTTCTTTTAATTTAATGAAGTAAATTTATTATTATA